CGGCCCCTCCTACGAACGGACCTGGTTACGGTTCCGTTTGGTCATCAGTACGTCCTGCTGCACCGTGGTTCCGTCCTGCGTTCGAAGGTCCAGGGTCACTTCCCAATCGGGGTCGTGGCCAAGTTCCGCAAGAATCTGGATCAGGTCTTCCGCCACTCGCTTGCGCGCTCGACGGCCATACTGTTTCTTCGCAAAGCCAACGATGCGGTCCACAGAAATACCGTCAACTGCCAGCAGGTCATACCACTGATCGTCAATCCGAACGAGGGGACGATCGTTCTCCCAGCGAATCCCGGAATACGGAGAAACTCGAGCATATCGAGGTTCCCGCAGCCGTTTTTGCGATGACGGAACCGCCTGTTCCAGCAGGCGGCGACCGATGGGATCGACATAGGGTCCGCCGCAGTTGGTAACAACCGCGACGGCGACTTTGTGATCGGGTGCGAACCCGATCCAGGCACTGCAGTTGCTTCGACCACCGTTCTTTTCCAGGACGTGATCGACGGCTTCGCGCATCACGGGGGCATCCTGAATGGGTGCAGCGATCGTCCATCCCAACGCAGTGCCCGCAGGGAGACCAGTCGACAATTTTGCTTCGGTATGCAGTTGGTCGAGCATTGCGCGGGTCAAGACATTCGGCTGCAGTTGAGCCGCCAGGAAGGATGCGAGATCGTCGATTGAAGTGATCAGGCCACCGGAACCGGCCAGGCGTTCCCTGTACGAATGAGTTTGCTCGACCTGCCAGTCTTGCCGATCGTAGCCGGTCGCCGGACGAAGCGAATCGTCTGCCTGAATCGCAGTTTGCTGCAATTTCAGTGGTTCACAGATGAGTTCGTCCATCAGTTCGTGAAACGGTCTATCGGCGGCCAGTTCGAGCACATGTCCCAGCACCCCGTATCCCAGATTGGAATAGATTTGTGCAGTGCCCGGCTTCGACTCCAAACGGAGTTCCGCCAGCAAACGATACAGCTTCTGCGGTTCCAGTTGATAATGGCCTTCGGCTGACTGAACAGGTCCGGGAACTCGGCGGGGCAGACCGGATGTGTGTGATGCCAGTTGCCGCAATGTGATCGTGTCACCAACTTCCGGAGTCGTGCTGATGTTCACACCGTCCGGCAGGTATTCGACGACCGGGCGATCCAGATCGATGACTCCGCGTTCGTGCAGAATTACGGCCAGTGATGCTGTGAAGACTTTCGTCACAGAGGCAACGTGGTATTGAGTCTGCGGAGTCGCCGGCCTGGCAGCTCGCAAATCTTCAAATCCAAACGCGCCTTTGTAAACAACCTTGCCGTCACGGATCACCACGGCACTCAGACTCGGATAGCGGTCTTCGCACAGCGACTGCAGCCAGCGATCGATTCGCTCTGTGGCCCGCTTATCGAAGGCACTGATATCGGGGAGTGACGACTGTTGCCACGAACTGTCCCACGGTTCGAGCTCCGCGGCGAAACTGTAAAGCGCGACAATCGCCAGGACCCCCATCAGAAGGGTCAGAACGATAGTGGCAATCGCCGGCCCTTTCGGTAGCTTTGGACCATCCGTCACGGCGGGCGTCCGCAGACGCCGTTTCTTTGATTGCAGCCAGACAGCCAACAGCGCAGCTTCGAAACAAATGACGGCCGCCACGATCGACTGAAACAGCACCGGCCCCATGTCCGGCAGCGGAAACTGTTTTCCTGCATAAGCGCCGGCGATCGTCGGCAGCAGGATGCAGGCGGCCACTGACCACGACGGGATGATCCGATTCCAGTTTTCGGCCCATGCCGGCCAGCTGAATGCATTGACCTGCAGGTTCACCGTAGTGCCGGATTCCATCAGAGTTTGAGCCTCGGTTGTCGGTGAATCGCCCTGCAGGCTGGCCAGCAGGCGTTCAAGTTCCTGTCGGCGAGGTTCCAGACGAGTTTCTATTTCACGCCGATTCAGACGAAGGATCCACATGTCGAGAGCTACGATCGGTACCGAACAGATCAGCGTGCCGATCGCAAACTCTGTCCAGTTGGTCGTGCTTTCCCAGACGACCTGCAGCAGGAACGCGGACATGGGAATGGCGAGCGGCAGCAGGTACCACCAGAAGACATTCCTCAACAGCCAGACCTGATGCTTCGTTTCAGCGATCGATTCCGTTACGTAGTCGATCAGCGGTCTGCCAGGTTCGCCGGACCGCTGCGGGTATCGCTTGCGATCGATCAGAATAAAAGCGACCACCCAAATCAGCGAAGGCACCGTCAGGTACCATGCCCATGGTAAAGAAAGGACGATTCCCAACCCGAGCCAGACCGGGATCAGCACCAGCGACGTGCCCGCTTCGCGAAGGTCTCGATGATAGATCATGCTGCGAAAATTGTGTTGAGAATCCTGCAGCTCTTTCGTCAGCGCGTCGTGGTCGAACGTGACCTGCGTGCGAGCGGATTCTGCACGCCAGGCCTGCTGAAACTCGTCCGGAATGTTTTGCTGTTCAGGATTCATGAGCCTGCCCGTTCATCAACCCGGCCAACGCTTTCTTTGCTCGGTTCAGCTTCACGCCGACGTTGCTTTCCGAAATTCCCAGCACGTCCGCGATCTCGCGATAGCTCAGTTCGTCCAGATACAGCAGCACCAAAGCTGCATCCGCCTTCGGTAGCCGGCGGATTGCGACGTAAAGCTGATCGACGGTTTCCTGCTGCTGCAGATGCTGATCGGCGTTCGTTGCGTCGGCGTGAACCTGCTGAGCTTCCAGCAATGGTTGCTGTCGAACTCGCCGGGGTCGGTCGTTCCTTTGCCAGTTCATCCCCGTCTGCAATGCGACTCGATAAAACCACGTCGCCGCACTGGCTCGCTCTTCAAAGCGCGGTAAAGATCGCCATGCCTGCAGCAGAATTTCCTGAGCAAGATCCTGACATTCGTCGGCTTCCACGGTGTAAGCGCGCGCGACCTTCAGGACGGCCGAACTGTGTTGGTTCAGCCATTCGATAAACAGAGATTGACGCTCTTCTTCACGCACCAAAAGTCCTTAACTGCAGGTATTGGTACCGAGCACAAATCGAGTCTTACAAGAAAAAGTCACGCTGTAACCAACTTTGTGGATTTCACCCGCGGCAATCGAAGCGGTCCCTGCCGTTGGCAGTGCAATTCTGTTCGCGATTGTGACGGGAATTGATTGATTCCGACGTTCAGATTTGCTTTGCTTCGCTGCGAATGCTTTCGCTTGGTTCGCCGTTTTGAATCTCTCGGATTTCGATGATGAAGTCGCCGTTTCTGATCCTACTTACGTTTTTCACCAGTGCAGCTGTCTGCATCGCTGCTGAACCTTCTGCTGAACCTTCTGCTGAACTGCCCGTTATCTGGGAAATCTCAGAAGGTCTGCAGGCACCGGAAAGCGCCTACTACGACCAATCGCGCGATGTGCTGTTCCTGTCGCAGATCGGCGAAGGCGGCGGAAAAGCGGAGGACGGCGACGGCTGGATTTCGAAGATTTCAACCGACGGCAAAGTTCTGAAGAACAAGTGGGTGACCGGCCTGAATGCACCAAAAGGAGTCCGCAGTTACGGCAATCATCTTTTTGTCAGCGACATCAATCGCGTCGTGGTGATCGACATTGATGCCGCCAGGATCGAAAGATCCATTCCGGTACCGGATGCCGTCTTCCTGAACGACCTGGCGACCGATTCGACCGGAAGCGTCTATGTGTCTGACATGGTGCTCAGTCGCATCTACCGGATCAAAGACGGTGTCGTTTCCGTCTTTGCCGAAGGTGAAACGCTGGAACATCCCAACGGAGTTCTGGTGGATGGGGCTTCGCTGATCATCGGCGGTTGGGGCAGCGGCTTTAATACCGAAGATTTCAGTACGAAGGTGCTGGGGCGACTGCAGAAGATCGACCTGAAGACGAAGCAAACGTCGCCCATCACGACGGTTCCGACCGGACATCTGGACGGCATCGAAGTCGATGGAAACGGTGGCTACATCGTGACCGACTGGCGTAACGGAAAGCTGTTCCACATTTCTGCGGATGGCGAAACGAAGCTATTGCAGACATTTCCAAGGGGAGCAGCCGATCTCGCGTACCTGCAGAAACCGGGATTGATCATTTTGCCGCGTATGCTGGAAAACAAGCTGACGGCGTTTCGTTTTCGCCCGTAGTGGTTGTCCACGACGAGCTTTCCTGAAAGATACGCATGACGATGTCCAATCATGTGTTGCTGGTCGCCGACGACTTGATGCTGACCAGCGACGTCAGCGGGTACGCAACGATGCAGCAAGTGCCGTTCACAAACGTACGAGCGGATGAGTTGCTGTCGTGGTTGCAGAACCAGGACGCGGGGCAGCGAATTTTGCTGCTGATCGATCTGGCCACGCCAAATCTGAACACGCGAATGCTGACAGAGGCTGCGCAGCTTAACTGTGTTGTCCAGGCGGTCGGCTACGGTCCTCACGTTAAGACCGATCTGTTTGACGCAGCGCGAGATGCGGGATTAAAGAACCTGATGAGCCGCGGGCAGTTCACCGCTCAGGCCGGCGGACTGATTGCCGACTTCTGCCGCGAAGCGTCGGTCTGATCGAACGTGCGACCAGCCGTGCCGGGCAGACAACGTGTCTGAAGTCCGTTCGATCACCTCGATGCGGCAGCGTCGGAAGCGGGATGCAGGTCCGCAGTGGCATCGGCCGCACCTGAGTCACTGCCGGAATCCGCGTTCTGCCCCACCAGCCGACGGCTGACAAAGACCATGTTTCGGCCACCCTGCTTTGCCTTGTACAACGCAGCGTCCGCATTACCAAACAACGTCACGTGAAATTCGTCATTGGTAGGAGCACCCGCCGCGACGCCGACGCTGATGGTGATAGCCAGTTCTTTGCCGCCATGGATCACTTCCATGTTTTCGACGGACGAGCGCAGTCGTTCGCCGACGATCTGCATCCCTTCAGGTGTGACGTCTTCCATCAGCACGGCAAATTCTTCTCCACCGTAACGCGCCAGTGTTTCGTTGGATCGAGTTGCGGTCTGCAGAGCCGCGGCGACCTTCTTAAGAACGGCGTCGCCGGTCTGATGACCGTACGTATCGTTGACCTGTTTAAAATGGTCGATATCGATGGCCGCGATGCCATACACGATATTGTGGCGCAGGCAGTGCTGGTTCAGTTCGTCCAGTCGTCGGTCGAAGTACGATCGATTGGCCACACCGGTCAACGCATCAGTACTGGTCTGGATCACAAGTGATTCGACCTGTTGTTTCAGTCGACCGTTTTCCGCCACCAGCTCTGCCGGAACTCTGCTGGTGGATTCATCGTTAATCATCTCCGTAAATTCCGATAGCTGCTCCAGAGCTTCCTCCAGCAGGTCTTCCGGTTCCGGAATGGTGGACGGATCAAGGTCGAATAACGAAGCGCTTTCATCCAGCCTGCCGCGAACTTCCGCGGTCAGAGCTTCCAGCGTCAGATCATCATCCGCAAGTTGTTCCTGCAGGACGACCAGTGCGACGCCTCGATCATCATCGCACAGATAGCGTGCCAGAGCATCTGCAGTGCAGGCGACGCCGGCCAGTTCTCTGGCGCCCTCACAGGGTTCGAAATCAGCATCAGCGCCAGCTGCCAGCCGAGCCGCGTCGACGAAGCGTTGCGGCAGGCCTGATTCTTCCAGCATCTCGACCGAAAGTTCTCTGTGAGTCACACCGAAGCGGTCCCGTTCTGCATCGGCCAGTTGGACCTCGCCCTTCTTCGCCTGCTCCAGGCATTCCAGATAAGATTCCGTTTCCTGCTTTAACAGTCCAAGTTGACCGATGCCGGCCAACAGGTTCAAGGTAAAGCATTCTGCCGCAAAGCTGCGGTGTGTTCGACTGCCCAGCACTTCTCCGGCGGTGGCCTGAACGAAGGAACGAAGCCAGTAGCTCTTGAACAGTTGGGCCTGTTCGCCGTCTTCCACGGATTCCGACGCCAGCGAAAAACTGAGCACCAACGGAGTAATCTTGGCCTTACCCATCAGCGCCAGCGCCTGTTGCAGGTTGGACACTTCACGAGGCAGTCCGAAGCGACTGGAGTTGGCGGACTTCAGAATCTTGGTCGCGAGGGCCGGGTCGGCCTGAACAAGGTCGGCGATCTTCTGCATCGGGGCATCCGGATCACCAAACACTCGCAGAATCTCGACGGCAATTGTCGGCAGCGACGGAAGTCGGGACAGCAGTCTTTTTTTCTTCAGGGTCATAACAACTTTGTACCTTTGAGCCGGCGGTGGGATCCGCGCAGCGGGATCATCAGGTGGATCTGTGATCGGCCAGGTTCGGGATCGCTTGCCGGAACACCTGCAGAAATTTCGGATTGCCGCACTTTCCAGGCGCCGCGCGGCTCGAATTTGCCGATCGCCGCGGGTTTTCGCTCCTCAGGTCATACCAGGGGAGATGAATTTTAAGGACCCATTCAGGCAGCGGAAATGGAGGTTGGGCGGTGCTCGTCGGAAGGGTAATTACCGGCTGAGGAGTCGGGCGACTGGCGATTTAACTGGTCGCCCAAAAATCACACATTGCCGCCCGAGGGGCTCTGGTGCGCTAAGTCCCGGGCTGCCGAGTCCGCCGGCTGCTGAGGTCCTGGGACGGCGAGCGTTGTTAGTCAGCTACCCCATCGTGCTTTGCGGCAAATGAATGCAGAACTGCGAAAAACACGCGTGAATCATACTGCGAACGTTCAGCG